TTTTTTTTTTTTTTTTTTGTCTTCTTGAGACAGGGTCTCACTGTGCAGTTCAGCCGGTCTTGAGCTCCCTCTGTAGCCCAGGCTGGTCTCACAATCCCAATGATCCTCCTGTCTCAGCCTCCCCAGTGCTGGGGTCACAGGCCTGCACCACCAGGCCCTGCCAAACATCAGGTCCTTATCAAAGACCCCATCTTTTCTTAGGTGACATGAGACAGCTGGTAGAAGAAAAGGGTTGTTGTTTTTTTTCTCTTCTCCTTTTCCTACAACAGTGCCTTAAAATGCGCAAGGAACCACACCCACACCATCTGTGAGACTCTTTGAAGCTGATTTAGCTCACCATCTCTGAGTTATAGCACACTCTTCCAGCCTTGGGATTGTGAGCTGGTGCTTCAGGTCGTTTAAACAGCAAAATCCCCAACGAACCCCCTCAAATGTGGAAAACACAGCCCTACACAGACCAGCAACATGACACTCATTGCTGATGGGAACCCAAACACAAAAGCTTGTTCAGCCTCAGCTGGGAGGGACCTAACCTGGCAATCCAAATTTTTAATCCCACACTGAGCAAGTCTACAAACAAGCCTGCCTCGTGAACATGCCTCATGCATTGACTTTGGTGCTAAGAGGAAGCTGCGGCCAGCCGGTGAATTCCTTAACAGAGCCCGTGGCTAATAAGGACCAACAGCGTGTCTGCCTCTGTTCAGAGCTGGTCTTTCGTTCTCGGTATCCTTTCCTAGTGTTCAATAAGGCAAACAATGCTAGGATTTATTAGAGGCCAGGAAAATCTGCCCCTGACGTTCACACAGAGAGAATTCATGTTGACCCCTGTCCCAGCTTGACCAGAAGTGGAGCACTTCCCTGGATGCAGGACTTCGAGTGTTAAAGCCAGAAAAACCTCAAGCAGATCTGGAAGTTTGTCACCCAGCATATCACATACTCTGCCCCAGTAAATATTGAGCTACATCTCCATCCCTATTTTTATTTTTGAGACAGGCTTTCCCTAAAGTCACTAAATTGCTCCTACCGGGCTCAAACTTGCCATCTTCCTGTCTCAGCCTCCCAGAGTGATGGGATTATAGGCATTTGCTACCATGCCTGCTAACATGAAATCTATTGAGAATTTTGAAACATAAATGATTTATCAGATCTGGAGATGAAAATCCCATTAAATATTTTTTATCTAAACAGAATGATTTTCAGGATCACTGTTTCCTACCTGCCTAGTTGCCAAAGTATCCCATTTCATACTTTATAAGCAGATCTACAACTTCACAAATGCAAAAGCAGCAATTCATATTGAAAACGGTGTCCGTCTTCACAGACAGCTGTTGCCCATCCATGCCCAGGTGTATCCTGGGCACTGGGAATCAGGAACCTAGAGCCGCAAGGAAATAAACGCCCGCTCTGTCTCCAGGGACAGACGGCTCTCCACCTTCCTAAGAGGACCTGGCGCCTCCACTTGTTTCTTGGGTGTCTGACACGAGCAGGGTACAACCACGAACCTCTGCACCATGGGCGAAGCAGCCCCTTTTCCTTCTGCCAGAATAGGTGAAGAGCCTCGGCACCGCCTCCCCAGGCCTGAGTGCTGAGCTTGCTGCAGATGTGGCAGCTCTAGAGTGCTGGATCCTGATTTGGTACTAGCTGCTGTCTGTCCAACCCACTTAACCAGAAGGTGACCGCAGTTATTCTCTCCCCCAGCCTGTAAATAAGGGCATCGGATGCTGCAATAGGCTGGGGGATGCTCACCAGGTCGAAGGTGAGCAGGAAGGGCCCCCCAGACACCTTCCATCCCTCCTCTTTGGGAAAAACTCCCTCCCGCGTGGGGCGCTTCTCTGCCCCGCCTCCGGCTGGGAAGAAGGGCGGGGCTGATTTCTCGCCCGCCCATTGGGCCTCTAGCCGGCTCATTTGCATGACCTGGGGCGGGGCGGGGGGCGCGTGACGTCACGCGGGGAAATGCCTGGGCGGCTGCCCCAGCTCCCAGAGCTGGCGATGCTGGTGCGGACCCGAGCTGCGCCTGCTCGCGCCCCGCGCTCCCCTTAGCCATGTACGACCCCGAGCGCGGCTGGAGCCTGTCCTTCTCGGGCTGCGGCTTCCTGGGCTTCTACTACGTGGGCGCGACTCGCTGCCTGAGCGAGCGCGCTCCGCACCTCCTGCGCGACGCGCGCATGTTCTTCGGCTGCTCGGCGGGGGCGCTGCATGGGGTCACCTTCCTAGCCGGGGTCTCGATTGGTGCGTCCGGGGCCCCGGGCTGTGGGGGCGTCTGCTCGGCCGGGGTGCTAGGGGCCCGTAGATGGGTTGCACGCGCACAGACTTGTCGCCCTCTCGGTCCCAACGCCCGTCGCAGGGCGCGAGAAGGCGTGGAAACTCCGGGCCGCGCAGGCAGGAACTGGGGCTTCTGAAGTGGGGACATTTGCACCTCCCCACAGGAAGTTCCCAGCCCCCGGAAACAGCCGGGGCGTCCCAGCGCGCAGAGGAGGGAGCAGGACGCTGGGTGGGGAGCGCAAAGTGGTGCTGGTCCCTCGGTTGTGAGCCGCCAAGGCCTTGGCTCCTGTCCAGCAGACTGAAGACTCAAGCAGCACTTGGCGAGCGCGCGTGTGTATTGATACTGGGAACAGGGTCCTAGGCCTTCACACTGGGCTAGATCCTCAGCCCTCTCCATCTCTTTCATTTCATTTAAAAAAAAATTAATTTCTTGCCCGATGTGGTAGCACATGCCTGTAATCACAAAACTCTGGGAGGATGAGGTGGAGGATCTCTGTGAGTTCCATGGCCAGCCTGGGCTATATAAGTGAGTTCAAAGCTAGCCTGCACTGTATAATGGGAGCTTGTCTCAAAAAAAAAAAAAAAAAAAAGTTTTTGTTTTTAAGTTTTCTGTATCTGGCACAGGGTCTCACCACACAGCTCGGACTCTTAGTGATCCTTATTTCAGTCTCCCCAGGGTTGAGATAACAGGCGTGCATCACCAAGCCTGATCTTGGTAGTCCGTGTGCCCGGGGCACTGGGTCCTTGTGCTTGCCTAGATAAGCATTTATACTGCTGAGCTGTCTCCGTGGCCCTAAATTTGTTATTTTGAGACAGCCTTGCTAAGTCGCCAAGTTGCCCAGGCTGGGCTCAAACTAACGATCCTTTAGTCTTACTTTCATCATGGCCAGCGCTCTTGGGGCCACCCTTTAGCAGCCTCCAAGGCAGCACCCCCAAGGAGGGATGCAGGATAGGATGTTTCCCTCTCTTCCTCTCCTTCTTTCCTGGGATGCCTCTTGGGGGCTGGAGTGGATCCCCAGGTCTCCTTCATCCCGTCTCCTCCAGCCTTCCCCGACCTGGGCCAGTCAGTGTCCTGACAGTGAGGTCCTGGACATTTGATTCTTGGCCTAATTAAACATTTATCCATGTGGCAGGGAAGGGAGGAGGTGGGAATTTTCTCCTTTCCCCAAACTACTAGAGTGTGGCATCTTTCCCGGGGCCCCAGGTGCTATAGCTTAGAGCTTCTGAGCCAGCCTGCCATGCAGCAGGGAACTGGTGACACCCAAAGGTCCCCAGACAGGATGATAGTGTCCCCTTATCAGTTTGCGTTTACCTGGCTCCTTTTGCTGTTTGCTCTTGGCTCTGCCTGCCAAGCCAGCAGGGAGTGACTTTGGCAGTGGTGGAGAAGCCACTGTGAGGCCGCAGAGCCCTGCCATTGGGTAGGATCTGTGAGCACACCCTGGCCTGACCGGATTTGGGATTAGGAGAGTCTGCCCTGGCCTCTTGCCTGCCTGCTGTGCTCTCTTCCCCAGCGAGGAAGAGGGGGGCAAAGGGCAGAATGTGTCGCCTCTGGGAGGATCCAGCTGACCATCTGCACACGCTGGGATTTAGCAATAAAGCCGCCCAGGTGTCCAGGATGGCCTCCAGGCACCACATGGCCAGGTGCTAAACTGGGACAAGATTTCAGTGCCTTCAACCTAAAGAACACCCACCCCTCCAGAGAGGGACTTCCCACATGGGCAGAGGGCAGGTGCAGTCTGAGGCTGTGCTTCGTGCTTCGCAGGATGTGGGCAGACACAAGTCCTGCGGAAGGGGGTCCCAGGTGTCTGGAGAGGAGCCACTCTATGTTGCTTCAGAGGCTTTAGGTTCCTGTTTGGATCCCTGTCTCGTGGGAGGGAGCTGCTGAGCAGCATTTCCCCGGGGCTGCGACTTGGGCAGGTCTCCAGGGCATCTGAGGAGAGGCTGCACCTCGAAGAAGAGATGGCAGAATCTGCCAGCAGGTCTAAGCTCTCCCGGACCAGGCTGGGTGCGTGGGCGGGAACAGCAGGGAGCTAGGTCAGAGTCAGGTCAGGACAGGCTGGGGGCTTGTCTGTCTTTATGCAGCCCAGGATCGAAGCCTGGCTGTGGCTGTTGGGCTGAGACAGGCTAGCTTGTGTGCCCGCTAGCACTGACATAGAGCACTGAGGAGGCATGACGGTGCCCACGACACGGACTGGTTCAGTCTGGCATTAGGGACTTAAGATAGAGACTAGTTTTTTACTGGCTGTTTGTGTGGCACACCTTACAGATTACCTCATCCTCTCTGCCTCTAAAATGTGGGTAAATCACTTTCTTTTCTTTTTATCTTTTGTCTTTTTTTAAAAAAATGTATTTAGTACAGGGTCTCACTACACAGATTGGACTCACAGTGATCCTCCTGTTTTCAGCCTCCCAAGTGCTGGGATTACAGGGGTGCACTACCACGCCTAGTCTCAATAGCTGTCTCAGTGTGCCCTGGGGCCTGTGCGGCATACTGGGATCAAACCCTGGTCCCTGCATCTGCCTAAACTATTAATCTGCTGAGCTCTCTGCCTCCCCCCCTTTTTAAGCAGGGCTTTACTACGCATAGTCCATGCAGGCCTTGAGCTTGCTTATATAGCCCAGGCTGGCCTTGAACTCGTAAGGTTTCTCCTGCCTCAGCCTCCTAAGTGCTGGGACTGCAGATATGCACCACCACACCTGGCCCATATGGGGGTAAATCATAACCTACATGACAAACTGGGGTCCAAGCATGCATTCTTTTTCTTGTGCCCCATCACAGTGAGATTGTCGGGCTGGCCAGATAGCTCAGCAAACTAAAGTGCCTGCTTAGGCAGAGCGTAGAGGCTCCCTGAGGCGGCGACTGAGACTGGGCATGGTGGCGCGCACCTGTAATCCCAGCTCTTGGGAGGCTGAAAACGGGAGGATCGCTACGAGTCTGATCTACATAGTGAGACCCTGTAGACCCTGTAGATTGTAACCTAAATACAGAAAAGAAAAAAAAAGTGAGATTGTTGGTGCCAGAACCGAGGTGCGGCTGTGTTCCTGGCTTTGTGGACACGCAGCCAGCGTCCTCTCGTAGGTTTCGTATCTCTTGGAGCCAGGGCCAGTGGTGACCTAAGCCAGGCCACACGCGGAACTTCCCGTTTCCTCGTTGCTGCGCTGACTAAGTGAGATACAGGTAAAGCTGCTTTCACCGAGCCCACTGCAACCCAAGAGCGCTGTCACGTCTGCTCAGCACAAAGCACTGTTGATGAGCTGCTTCCTGCTAAGCCTTGCACGTGCAGGGTGTGTCTTCCACACTTGAGGGTGGATCAGCATCTTGCCAAGGGCTCACGGAGCTACTGTGTCAGCACACACAGGTCCAGCAGCCGCCGAGCAGCCTTTTGGGTCTTGCTCCAGAGCATCCCTGTCTCACGGCAGCATCTTATTTCATGTATTTGTCTCCTGTCCCCAGACCAGGCTCTGCAGATACTCATGGACCTTGTCCGCAAGGCCAGGGCACGGAACATAAGCACCCTCCACCCGTCCTTCAACCTGAGCAGGCACCTGCGGGAGGGGCTCCAGGAAATCCTCCCGGACAACGTGCACCAGCTCATCTCAGGCAAGATCTGCATCTCGCTCACCAGAGTGTCCGATGGGGAGAACGTGCTGGTGTCCGACTTCAAATCCAAAGAGGAAGTCGTGGATGTGAGCTATTTGCTTCTCTGGGTGTGTGGGTGGTGTTGAGTGAAAAAGCAATGTGTATCTTGGTGTGTGTCAACCTTGTGTCTTCTAGGACAGGCTCTCCACCCTAATTTTTTCCTTTTCTGCACCACTGAGGATGGAACCCAGGGCCTCCTGCATCTTTCTTTCTTTCTTTCTTTCTTTTTGGAGCTGGGGATTGAACTCAGGCCCTTGTGCGTGACAGGGAAGCACTTAGCCCACTGAGCCATCTCCCTGGTCCCCTTCCTGCATGTTAGACACGTGCTTAACACCAGCCCAGCTCTTTCTTTCCGTGCTGTAAGACTCAGCTTAGGATCAGCCTGTCTGGGGAAACTGTCCTGGGCGTACGCCTCCCCTCAAGCCATTCCACCTGTAAGGAGGAGGCCTTCTCCAGGGCCTCTGGTCTTAGGGTCTGGCAAAGTGAAGATAATTTGCATTATCAGAAATACTGTTGAAGACTGGGCATGGTGGTATGCACCTATAATCCCAGCACTCAGGAGGCTGCGGCAAAAGGGTCATCATGACATCCAGGCCCGCCTGGGCTACATAGTGAGACTCTGTCTCAAAAAATAAAATGAAACAAAACAAAAAAAACAACGAAAGGAAAGAAAGAAGGGATCCTTGTAGGAATGACTACACTTTACTTACCTTAGATTTGTACCAGAAGGACAGATGGCAGAGCTAACCAATGGCACCACAGCCAGTGTCCTCCTGTCCTTGCCCCTGGAAGCTTTTTTTGTTTCCACAGCCAGCACCTATTTGTGCTCACCTGTGTCCACCCCTCTGGAGACCCGATGTGTCTAGTGCTGTGCTTGTGAGGTACAGTGCAGCTCCTAGGGACTCAAAAGGGTGGCACTGGTCCAGCCCCACGCAGCCAGCAGGCCTATGCCTCACGGCCCCTGCATCCCATCTGTGACCGCCGATTGTGGCCGTCCTGGGTGCGTGGGCAGGGGAGTGGGCTGTGTGGGTAAGGAGCTTAGGCTGCTGATCAGACCCAGGGGCCTCTAGGACCAGGGCAGAAGGCGGCTCCTGGTCCACTCTGCCCTCAGAAAAGCACTTATGTGTTGCAGGAGCATTTCCATGGGGCTCTCGGATCATTTAGGGGAGGCTGGGAGGTTTGAGGATGGGCTCTGGCTGTGGTCTGACTTCCTTTTGTCTCCACAGGCTCTGCTGTGCTCTTGCTTCATTCCTTTCTTGTGTGGCTTAATCCCTCCGACCTTCAGGGGTGTGGTAAGTGCACTTTGGTGGCAGCTGGCCCGGACTCACAAGGGTCTTTTGCAAAGTCTGGCAGCCTGGCTTTTCCTTGCAAGGTGGGAGGATCAGGGACCCCTGGGCCATGTGAGCCCCATAGTGCTCAGCCTTGCAGACCGAACCATCGCTGGGCCAGCTTCCGGGCCATGAATTACCTTGCTGCCTGTGAGGCACACCTGCCGGGTCACTTGATCCACACATGAGCACTGCAGACAGGCCACTCCCCGTGGCCTACTTCAGGTTGCTCAGCAATCCATTATTCATGTAAGGTAGAGCTCCATTGTTGGGCAGAGGGGTAACAGGGATTTTTTAACAGCCACAAAACTGTCTGGCCTCACACAGGCTTTTGCTTTATTTTGTTTTGCTGCTCTGCGATGCATAATCCCAGTGGGGCTGTCGAATCCTCATCTTTTAAGATCAGTTTTTGAGCAGGCAACTAAATAACTAATAAAATCCACCAAGGCCAAGTGGTAGGTAGGAGCCGCCTACCGCAACCTCTTGGGTCGGCACTGCTAAAGGGCAGTGGGCTGCTACTGCTCTCTGCTGCCCCCCCTCAGGCAGGACCTGTGTAGTGCACTGCAGGACGGCTCTTGTCTTCTGATGGCTGAACCTGGCCAGTTGAGTGACCCAAGCACAGCTGGGTTTCAGGCGTTGGCCCCTGTGCTGTCAGTGGCACGGGAGACTAAGGTATGCAACCATGAGGCTGTTACCCAGGGCTCCGCAAGACACAACAACAGGGCATTAGGGGCCGGGGAGACGGCTCAGGAGAATAAGTACTTGCCTGGCAAGTGCGAGGGCCTGAGTTCAATTCCCAGTTCCGCCAAAAAACAAAACAACAACAACAACAAAAATACAGCAGGGCGCTTGGGACATCCTTCCCTTCTGAGGTGCCTTGGGGAGGGTGGGCTCCTTCACTGCCACCACATCATCATCGGTCACTCCCTCTAGCCCAGGGACACAGCCAGCAATGTGCCCTCCTAGGAGCCCTGCTGGCTCCTATGCCAGGTTCATGGTTGCAGACCTTAGTCTCCTGTGCCACTGACAGCACAGGGGCCAATCATGTCCCACCGATCCTCAGCCTGCACAGGCTTAGGCCACTGCTGCAGAGAAGCTCCAGGGCTGGCATGCAGCTCAGTGCCCGAGCGATGCCAGGGGCACACAGATTGCCTGGGTCCCATGCCCAGTGCCGCCACCAGAAAAGTCTAAGTGGATAAGAAAAATGATAGCATCTGACCAGACACACCCTTCTCCATCTTCCCTGAAGATTCCTGACTGTATTTTTATTTCTTGTTGGTTGGTACTGGAGACCCAACCCAGGGGCATTTCACCCCTGAGCTACATTTTATTTTGAGAATGAGTCTCGCTAAAATTTCCAGGTGAAACTCAAAAGACTTTCAGTCTTCCAGCCTCAGCCTCCAGGAGTGCTGGGGTGACAGGTGTGCACCGCCACACCTGGCTGGGACTCCCGATGTCCCATTCGTTGTTCCTTAGTGTCCTTGAGGCTGTTGCTGTCTTACTGTCTGCCATAGAAATCCTGATTCCGTGGCCAGGCACCCACCTGTTCCAGACCTGGGCGAGTGTCTCTTGGTGGCTGAAGGTGGCCAGCGCTCCTCGGGTTCCTCTGGAGCCACGTAGTGCTCTGGGGTGTCCCCATCTGCGGGGGCTAACAGCAAGGTTCTAAGAGTTCTGTCGACAGCATCACTCCTGTGAGACTGGCAGCAGGGCTGGGGCTGGGTCCAGACCCTGGCTGCTGAGTACAAGCACGCTGTGCCCAGCCTGCCCCTGCTTGGGTGTGGGCAGTAACGTGATTGCTCAAGGGCGCAGGTGGAGGTGAGCTCAGCCAAGTGCAGCCTCCTGGGGAGATTTTCTAGGTCCCAGTTCACTGATTTAGTCTCATGACACCTGCTGGTTGTTGGTTCTCCTTTCCATCGCATGGAAGAGAAAGGCTCATGGGTTAAATATCTTGCTCCAGATGTCCCAAAAGCAGAAGGGTTCTGGATTTGAAACCCGAGCCTTGGGACTCAGCCAGAAAAACATGGGCTGTGCCCCAGCCCACACTGGCCTTGCTGCTGTTGTGCAGTGCACGTTCTCACAACAGTATACAGCGGCCCTTGGCTGTGTACACCCAGCTCTCCCCATTACACAAATGCTGGGCAAGTATTCGCTGAGAGAGCACGTCCCAAGCTGTTGCCCCCCAACGGCTCTGTGACTCCTCCGCTTGCGGTTCTCAAAACGCGCTGAACGCTAGCCTAGGGTTGCAGACAGTGGCAGCCCCTCTGTCCCCTCCTTTGAAGCGATATATGGACGGAGGCGCCAGCAACAACCTACCGGTCCTGGACTCTCAAACGACCATCACAGTGTCCCCGTACTACGGGGAGTGCGACATCTGCCCAAAGATCAAGTCCACCAATTTCCTCCACGTGACCATCACCAACCTCAGCCTCCGCCTGTGTTTGGGGAACCTCTACCTCCTCTCCAGAGCCTTCTTCCCCCCTGATGTCAAGGTGAGTGGGGGCTCTGGGGTGCCGAGGCTGTCCCCCACCTCACCCCCATGTGTGCAGAGATGGGGCCTCCCTCTGCACAGCCGCAGAGACCTTGGCCCTACTGGTTAACTCCAGGAAGAGCTCTTGTCCCGGGAGCTCGGGGTCTGCCGCCTGGTCCCAGGTATCACCTCGGGTCACACAGGCGGACCCAAAGCCCTGAGCCCTTCCAGGCACAGGGCTCGCCGGACTCGGGGTTGCAGCCCATGCATCCAGGGTCTGTTCTCCACAGGGCTCAGGGTCAAACTCAAAGCTCCGCATGCGTTAGGCAAGTGCTCTGCCGCTGAGTTGCATCCCTGGCCCAAGAATTTTGATTTTGATCTCAGTTACCAACATAATTCTGACTGTGGTGCGTGCCTGCAAAACTATTCCGAGAGGCTGAGTCAGGAGGGTCACAAGTCCAAGCTCAAGCTGGGCTACTTAGCAAGTGCAAGGCTCCAGGCCAGTCCTGACTACATAGTGAGGCGTGTTTCCAAAAACAAAAATAACCCCAAAACAAGAGCCCTCCGCGTGGCGCTTACCCTGAATGTTGCTTCTGGATGCGTTGCCACTCCAGCAGCATAAGGAGGGGAGCCCACCCACAGTGGCATCCCAAGGACAGAGGTACCTGTGGCATGGCACTCGCTCTGTCCCATCCGTGTCTCGGCTCCCCCTTGAGGCAAAGAGGTCGTTGTTACTGCCTCAGTGACAAGTGGGGCAGGGGCCGAAACGTGCTAGGGTGACAGCTCGTCCCCAGCCCAAGGGAGTTGGAGAGATAAGGCCTGGCCATGGGCTCACTAGCAGGGTGACGTGCGAGGGACCCCAAGCCCTGCACTCAGCTCCGGTACTGTGCTCAGCACACCCAGGTGTCTGGTAGGTGTCCCGTGTCCCCGTGTCCCGATGCTGTGAGCATCGGCAGTGACTGGTGTGATTTGCCCGCAGGTGATGGGGGAAATCTGCCTTCGGGGCTACCTGGATGCACTCCGGTTCCTGGAGGAGAACAGTGAGTCCAGGCTTGTGTCCGCGCTCTCCTGGGTAGTCCTCAGTTCTGTCCCTTGTTGCCCAGCGCCTTCCTGTCCTGTCTTGTTCTACTCACCCATCAGCCCCAGGAGGAAAAAATCTCCACCTGTTTTATGACCTGGATGGGGAGGCCCTGGGGTTGGGCCAGAGCATCTCCACTTTGCTGTTTCTTTCTGCTGAGCTCTCAGGAGCCTGTAGTTTATCGAGGGCTGAGGTTAAACGGGTCCTGGGATGAGCTCCAGGTGACACAGTCTGACTGCTGTCCTCAGCTGGGCCTGGCCATGCCCGGGAGCTGGTTGGTTCTGTTTTGTGGGCAGGTGCTGCCGATGAGCCCTTCTTGCTTGTCCCAGGTGCAGCACTGGGTAGAGACAGCATCACGTGACAGATCACCACAGTGCTAGGGCAGGAGGCTGTGTAGACCGCTGTGGCCCCATGACACTGCAGTGCCAAGTGACACCTTAGCCAGTCTGTGATGGCAGTGACAAGCTCTCATCCTGTGGGCTGCTGAGCGACACCCATCTGTATTCTACCAAACCAGAGCTCAGAGGCCTGGGAACTGTTTGCCTTTGTTTGGTTGGTGTGTTGGGGCTTTGAATTAACCTGTGGCCAGCACTGAGGTGATGCTGTGTTCAGAGGACCTAGGTGTGCCTTGGATGCCTCTCCTGGGAAGGGGCTATGGACACTGTAGTGACTGAGGGAGTTGGCTCTGGCAGCTGCAGGGCGAGGAGAGCAGAGAGGACAGGGCAAGTTGACCTGAAGAGGCAGGTGCTGTGGGATCCTGCAGCAGAGGATGTGAGCTGGCAGGGCGGGCATAAGCAGTATAGGAGGGCTGGAGCCTGGACCTGGGGACATGGGCCTGCAGGTCACCGTGCCCTGGGGCAGAGAGGGGTACACAGAGAGGGCAGGAGTGATGCTGGCTGCACCTGTGGACCTGGGGCAGGGTGTGCATCTTGCAGCACGAGGGAGCCATTGAGAGCCCTGGAGCAGGAGCCAGGTGGGTCAGAGGGGAGCCCATCTGGCTACAGTGCAGAGAAGGCAAGAGCAGGAGCTGGTTGTGACAGTGACACCTCTGGTGCCAACCACTCAGGGCACTGAGGCAGGAGGACTGCTTCAGCCAGGAGTCAGAGGCCAGCGTGGGCATGGGGTGAGAGCCTGTTTCAAAAGCAAATGAAAACAGAGAGGGCAAGACCAGTGCCCAGGAGGCAAGTAAGGCCGCCAGGACAGGCCAGGGCTGGAACCGGGGCGGGGCTTCAGATGGAAACTGATCCAGAGGGCTTGGAAAGGATCCTGGGGAGATTTGGGAAGAGATCACCTAGGGTTGCGCTCCCTGGCTGGGGACCTCGGCAGACGCAACTTGAAGTGGATCCCTGGGGTGTGTAGAGGGGCAGCAAGAGCAGGGGCAGTGCAGAGATCTGGAGGACCAGGGAGACCCTGGGGCACCTTGGGGACAGTGCAGTAGTCCCTGGGCTTTCTCCAGAGGCAGCGCAGTACCCTTCCTAGTTGTGCCTGGTCCAGCGGGGGTCAGGGCCAGCCCCACCCTTGGGAAGCACACAGAGAGGGCATCAAGCACCCTTACACAGCTTCCCTGTAGCCCACTGAGGACTCCGACACCAGACCTGGCTCTGCCATCTTCTAGCTATGTGACACTTGCCAAATCCCTGGACCTCTCTGTGCTGATTCCCAGGCCGGGATATGGAGATGGTATGAATGGCCACGGTTGTGTGGCCACTGTCACGTCTGCTGGTCAAGGGCTTAGCTCAGGCCTGGAATGCGGGCAGGACCCAAGGTGCACCTGTTCTAGATCAGTATAATTCTTCTGTCATGTCAGACAGAAGCGTCAGAGGCAGGGAGGGAGCCCACGCACCTGATACGTGCCCGGTGCCCAGGGCAGGGGCCCAGCCGCCTCTGCAGCCGCACCGCCTCCACGCTTCCTGCCTGCTGCAGATTCCAGCCCTGACTTTACCCTAGGGAACAACAGGTGGCCTTGGTTTCCCGTCACGCAGGCCCTTCCTGGGTGAGTGTGAGGCTAGAAACAGGACCCCGCACCAGAGTCCCCCATTTCCTGCTTCCCCCCCCTCCCCAGGCATCTGCAGTAGGCTCCAGCCCTGCTTAACGCTCCCCAAAGAAGAGCTGGAGCCGGAGGTCACAGTGCCTGGCTGGGAAGACCCGGACTTGGGGAAGGCCGAGGACGATGAGCTCCTGGACCACCTGCGCCTCAGTATCCTGCCCTGGGACGAGCGCATCCTGGATGCCCTGTCGCCCCCACTCACTGCAGGTACGGGCGCTGGGTGCTCCATGCTGTGTTGTGGGAGGAGGCGTGGTCGGGGGAAGGGGCGTGGTCACGGGAAAGAGGGTGCGGTGGGGCAGAGACTCGCAGGTGTGCTGCGGGCGCCACCTCCTGGCACGGGGCTTCTGGCTGCCCATCCCTGCATCCCCTGGGCCTCTTCCTTCCCACTGCCTTCTGGCCAGGAGAGACACAGAGCCCATGCCAGTACTGCAAGAGAAAAGGGGTGGGGGGCAGTGTTCCAGGAAGGAGATAGACCCCACCCAGCTCGCATAGCCAGCAGCGGCTGCGAAGTTCGGTGTCTCCAAACAGATTTGTCAGCGTACGAAATTAATTGTTAAATGGGAATCCCATACTCC